CCCCCCCCCCCCCCGGTTTTTGGAAGGTCATAGGTTCGAATCCTGTGTGGGACTCAGATTTTTCTTTGGCCCACGCTCGTGACATGTTGATTTCATTTTCACATTTGATTCACCGAGCTTAAAATTTACCATCTTTCATTCTTTCACCACACAGTACAACACTGACATAATCCTTGCAGTATGCATGATGCATGTCAAATATGATCCTAGTACATGTATATGGCCTCGCTCTCCATGAGTTCTCCATAGCTCAAGTGGATAGAGCACCCGCCCAGTGTTTGGGAGGTCATAGGTTCGATTCTTGTCAGGGACTCAGATTTTTTCTTGGTCCCTGCACGCTTGTGACATGCTGATTAATTCATTTTCACATTTGTTTCCCCGAGCTTAAAATTTACCATCTTTCATTTTTTCATCAGTATTTTAGTTGAAAACATGCTGCTACCTCTTAAAATGCAACAGTGAGAGTACTCAGATGTTATTCATGGTTCATAAAAAAATAATTTGCCAAAAAACTCAAGTTTTTGGAGCCCTTTTTCTGTTTCTTGGTTCTAATCATTGTTGCTAATATAAGTGAGAGACATATGACTTGATCTTTCTTTTCTACTGACATTTTTCCATGTAGGAAAAGACTGCAGCTGAGTCCAACACAAGCATTCTTCCTTCTTATCAACGAAAAAAATCTGGTCAGCATATCGATCACTGTAGGAGAGGTTTACAAAGATGAAAAAGATGAGGATGGATTTATCTACATGGTGTATGCATCACAAGAAACATTTGGCTCTTGAATTATTTATGAGACAGTATACTTTTAATGCGTGGGTAAAAATAGTTTTGAAAATTGCACTAAGTGTAATTAGCATTGACCTGTGACAGTTAAGAGAGGGAGGCAATATATATAACCTATTACTGTTTTTGCTGTAGAAATGTATCATATTAACCACTTTTACTGTTTGTACATTGTATGTAGTGCATTTTTCAAAGGGATTAACAATATACAATAGTTAATTACATGCATTAATGTAATTTTTGAATTATCTACCGCTTTAATGCAAAATAAAGTAACCTAATTTTAAAAATAGATGCACTATAAGTAAATGTAAAATTGCCCCTGGGTCCTTCTAAAAGACTGCAATCATTTTAAAAGAAAAATTTACTTTTGGAGACTGAAACGTCTTGTACCACTATCATCGTGCCCTTTTTTTTTCGCTTAACACTTTGCAGCCTTTATGGCAACTAGAGCATTATTTATGTAATCTTCTCCTTGTTAAGCTTTCTACAGGTTATGATTCTGAATCTTTTATAAGCTATTCCATCCTGCAACTAGAGAGTAGTAAATCTACTTATTTTAACCTCCTCCCTCTCACCAACACTCTCTAGATAACAGTATGTATAATACATTGTAGTATGGCGGAGTTGCATGTAATTAGTCGTACACAGTTTCTAAGTAGTATTGATCCAGGTTATGATTCACGTAAGTTATTAAAATGTACGAGTTCTATGAGCTGATCTGTTTTAATGATTTGCTAATTACAATGAGTTAAATCCACACCCAGGGTTAGTACACAATCTTGATTTATTAAAAATTGAAGAAGTCGTAAAATTTGCAAAGCAATTTTCTAGACCTGGAAAAAGTCTAGAGAAGACGTTTGGAAAAATGTTAAAAAGTCTGGAGTTGTCGTTGTTATTGTTGTTCTGTTGTTTTTGTTGCAAAGCTACAAGTAATTAATAAGTGAATTTTTCCCTTGGTCAAACCTCATTCAGTCTCGCCTGTAACCAAGAAATTCAATCACAGAATGAGAAGTTTCGGAACCAGAACCCTCTTATGTCTGCGTTGAACCATGGTCATTGTGCGTTTGCAGTGCATCATGAAAATAGCTTGGTTCCTGCGTTTTTGTATGTCTCTGTTGATCAACTATTTGATAACCTTGAGTGTGAAAAGAGAAATCATTGTTTTGGTAAAAATTCGGGAAAAAGTCTTGAATTTTGGATCCAAAATCTGTACGAACCGCGCTACACCTAAAAGTTGGTTGAAGTAAGTGAAGGTCCTCTCCCCACCCCCAGAAATTTATAAAGGATTGAATGATGCTAAGCATCTAACACATTGAGCAATTGCAAGACCTATCTACTAACAAGCGCCATGGCACCTCCCGAGGTATTTTCACTGGCTTGATGGCTATTTTTTACATCTCAAATTACCTTATTCCGATTAAGAATAAATGGAATAAACTCTAGAAATCACTTGTTTTTGACAGCCAGTGCATTATCACCGACTCCTTCCCGTGAACCTGATCCAAGAAAGGTTTGCGGCAGATTTTTATCAATCGAAAACAAGTGCAACCAGGTGTGATGTTAGGGGGAATAGGAAGGTTTCTTTTCTCACATTGCACGCAGTTCCTTTCCACGTTTCTGTGCAGTTCCTTTGCTCGTTCCTGTGCATCTCTTTTGCAGGTTTCTCTGAAGTTTCCTTTGCACGTTTGTCTGATGGTTTCAATGCATGACCTCTGACGCCAAGTTCCTTTGCAAGTTTGTCTAATGCATGGCCTCTAAACGTTTCTTTTGCGGGATTCCCTTACGTCCTATATATGACCTTTGAAGGTCCCTTGGCACGTTTCTGTGCAGGTTCTTCTGAAGGCTCCTTTGCACGATTCTTGGCAGTTTTTGCCACTACTTTGAAGCTAGCAGTACTTTTGTCTTAAGAAAATGAAGCAGGCCTTGGTGCACAGTTGGTATTGAAATTCTTATCACCCAAGGTCTTTTTATTGCCCTCCTTATTTATGGACGCTCTTGACCTCTAAACAATACTCTCTTGGTACGGACGAGGAGCTAAAATTGAGAAAAAGTAATGTTACACCATGTTTGTTTGTTTATTTTGTTCTTTATTACTGTTTCTGTTAAAAATGCTTCGATAAACCATCTTAATTTGATAACCATCATATTTGGAACTCAGTATTTAATTGCCAACCATAAATCAAGTTCTTATTCGTAAAATTGTTTCACTGTACTGTCCTATAGCAGAACCACTCCCGGATAAATAATGCTACATCATGACACTCGTAAACGAGTATGAACATTCCATGTGGTGCCTCCAAAACATGTAATGGAGAAATTTCTCTCCTAATTGCAACTTTAATTTCTCGGCTTACCCACAAAAATGTAGCTAGGGGCAGGTTTTAAGATCGAAATATCATTTAGCCTTTATGGAATGTTGGTATTTATGGCGAAATGGGTAAACTCGCCGGAGAATGCAGACTTTTGAAGTCCAACTAAGTCCCCTTCTCTCTGCGGTGACAGTGGGAATTAAAACAACTGTAGGTCTGCATTCGGAAGCAAGGAGAAAACCAAAGTACCCAATTCAAAGAAAACCTATTGGAGGTCATAATCTTATGCCACATTAGCTGGTTTCGCATAGAGGCAGGCGAGTGCGAAACGCGAGTGACTGGTGAAGAACCGCAAGAGACCATGGGAAGGGTAAAGAAGGGAGGTGCTCGCACGTTTTCATCTCCCGTCTTCCTTTGCGCGCAAATTTTCATGGAGAGAGTGACGTCAGGGTACGAGGCAACCACATCAGTTAGTGTAGTCTGCACCACCCTAGTGGGTCCAGTTGCTCAAAATGTGGATAACTCTATCCAGAGGACAATGCGACTGGTTCCACTGATAACTGACCCCAGTTGTTCAAAAGTTGGATAGCGCTTTCCACTGCAGATAAATCACAATCCAGTTGATGAGTATTAGGGGGAATCAAGCAATTGCATTGTCCTCTGCATAAATATTTATACAAGGATAGAGTTAACTATATCTTTTAAACAACTAGGGCCTGATCCCAGTGCTTTCTTCTTAACAATTATAATAATAATAATTATAATAATAAAAGTAATCGACTCCTGTAATAAAACATAATAATGATTTATAATTATTATTATTATTTATTATTTATTAGGCGCAAAATAGCATTCAAATATATGATCTAATGCGTAATTAATTAGTGGACCAACCACAGGTAATATATCACGATGAACACAAGAAGGTTCCTTACCAGCATTTGGAGAATTCGGAGCCTTGTCACCTTTCTGCGAGGTGGCTGGTAGATACACTGAGGTTCCATTTAGTCTTGTCAGTGGTGGAGTATTAGTGGATAAAACAGCATCTGACGGCAGGTACTGGGCTGGAAAATAGGGCCGATATGGAAGAGTGCCAATAATGATAGGAATGTACAATTTTGAGTCGGAGGCACCCTTCACTCTAACTTTCAGCTGTTGAGAGATTTTAAGAAAAATAATTAAGCCATAGGATGGATTACCTTTTCACGTTCTCGAGTTTAAGTCACATAAAATGGTTTCTGGGTTGCATGTAAATAATGCCAACCCTACGCCCTTATAATGGAGTATAATGGAGGCGTGCAGTCAGGGAGCCAACAAGAGCTATAAACGAGAGTTTATAGTCCTAGCCAGCTTATTTGAAAACTTCACGGTTTATTTGCAACAACGTCTTTTTTGCTGCTCGTCAAAAAATAGTCGTTTGCTATGATGTGTAAATGGCCATTATAATTCCAATAACATTAACTGTGGATTCTTCAACTTGAAAAATTATACTTGTACACAACAAAACAGCGAACAGTATATACTGTGTCCTTAAGCTCTCGAGATGAGATGAAACATTGATTAGAACAGACGCCTTGTAGTTAGTCGTCCAAGTTTAATACGTTTTATGGCGATCATTCAAGGTAATAAGTCACAGTACAATCGCGCCATCTATCCACCTCCTGTGCCTCCTCTTCATAGTAGTTCCCTCCTTCTTTTTCTTTGGCTTCCCTCCACCCTCGCCTCATCTTTTATCATTTTTCTTCCAGCTCCTACAACTGATTTCTTGTCATTATCACCATCATCATCATCAGCTTTCCCTATCGTCGTCCTCATTTGTTTGCCCTCCCTACTCATGTTCACTTTTGTCCTCGGTGAGTAGCCAACCAAATCGTTTTGCTAAGACCTCACAAGCCAGTAATACTGGGCACGACATCGAAGGAGAGAGTTACGTTATCTTAATGCGATACCTATTAATGACATCTAATTTCAAAAACGGCTAACTTCATCCTCACTATACTACTCCCGTAACTCAAACCCAGGCATTTTACAGCACCTCAAATGCTGCCTCAAATTAGAAGCAAGTGACTGTTCTCTAAGAACATCTCACAGAGACGACTTTTCTCACAAATCACCATGAATAGATATTGATTATATTACCCTTAGGAGATATGATATCTTCAAACAACTGCAGCTTTGCATAGTTTGAGGTACAGAGGGAACTGGCAGTTGCAGCTGTGATACTAAAGTGTCTCCAGGCTTTACTCCTTCCTTAGAGATGGATGCAACTTTATCTTCCCAGTGTGTAGCCGTTCCTACAAATATATCAAAATAATTAACAGTCATTGGAGGAGGTTGAGCAAAATATCGTGAATTGTCGGTGGCAAGCAGGTCATTATCATTGACCATCGAGTTTGTTTTTTGAATACCTTTGAGAAACGATCGAGGCGATCTGCCATTTTCAAGCAAGAGCGATTGCAAGAAGGAGAAAAGTGTGGTTTCATTTACTCATGAGCAGAATATTATTTGCAGCCAAACACAATTGGACGACTTTGCGCATGAGCAGACCATTATATTATTTGTGGGCGGTTATTTGCAGGTCACGTGGTGGCTCTCGGCCAATAAAAAGGAAAAAAGTTGAATCGAATGATAATGATAATAATTAGATGATGGTTATGAGAAATAGCGTAAAAGAGATAATGCCCCACATGAGCCTTATGTTTTATAAGTTATTATTAGTAACAAAATGGCAGGAAATCAAAGTTTAAATAACTTTCCCAATGTAAGTCATCTCTTCAGTGCTATTTTATATTTTTTTCATAACATTATACACACATTCGAGTTAGAACGAAAACTTCTTCTTGGGTAATATCACTAGGAATAGACCGCCGGGTATGATAGGAACAATTATGTTTTGCGTGCAGATCCAACGCAGAGTTTAGGTCCTACAGATAGCCCTTTCTCAGATAAAGGAATATCTTGATATCATACTCAGCCTCGTACATTAAAATACCATCTTTATATAATTAATTCTATCATGCAACTTTAGTAGTTTCTCATTGATCAGAATTACCTCTGTGCCACTAATCACTTTCTTAGGCCATGTTTACACTAATAGACTAATAAACTGGATAGCCTTTCGAGTCGACACGAAACGCCATCCCCGTATATACCAACAGCAAAGGCACGCAAATGGAATAGGTCGTTTACAAACATCAAACATCGTGCCTGAGGGGTTCGCCAATTTACTTCCACCTCAAAGGATTCCAGACCTTGCTCCTTCACTTCTGCTACGGTCCGAATTTCGGTTCACTTTGCACCAAAATGTGCAGAGAACCTATTCGATATGTGATGCTCACACTTTCAAGATCGTTACAGCGCAGCTTCGATCGCTTTGTTACAGGAAATAGCACCGAAATCATGGCTTTTATGTCAGATCTGAAGCCCTATCGGGTATGGTTCTCGTGCTGGGGTAAGGGCTGTCAGCTAGAGTGTAAACATAACCTAATTCGTAAGTATGAAATCTTTCAGTTACCCACCACAAGAGGCAATCAAGACGATGATTCGAAGAAGTTGTATCTTCAGACCAACAACTTCATTTTTGGACTTATTATCTATGACCGTCGAGACACGAATAGACTCTCCTGGACAGTACCCTCCTCTGTCAGTACAGAAAGTAGTGCTAAGTGAGCCAGAAACGCAGCAAAGAAATCCCACGTTACGATCTTCTTCCTTCTGACAAGGTCGCTAAGAAAATAATTATAAGAATTAAGTTGTGCATAGGAATACTTATTTCAAATACTGATTTTAAAAGAAAAATCTGATTGAGACCTCGATCTGCTATGATTAGGGTCCCTTAATTAGGTCGTAATTTTCACAGTTTTGCAATCTCGTGATGTTCATACTCTGTTGCCTCCTCTCCGCGATTTCAAAATGTACACTTTGAACCAAATATAATGATGATACCTGAAATTATAGGCTACACCTGCTGAAGAAGTATATTTGCAGATTGATTACGAACATGTAATCATGGCAATAATTGAAAATATTATTTCCTCTAAAGCAAATTTTCACGCCAAACTAAAATATTTAGGCCTTCCAAGAATTCTCTTTAGCATTCTCAAGCTCTTCTGTAAAAGGTAATAACTAGTTAAAACCATCGTATTCGGACCCACTTATGGGTGGGTAGTTCAGAACACGTCTCGACTAGGCTAGCTTAAAGCTTCAAACGGCGTTTTTGGGTAAAGTTGCGGGATTTTGTGGTGAAGTGACAAAGCCGTCCCGATGCTGCAGTCGATCTTGGGTATGAGTCTCAGTCAAGTGATACCTTTTCACTTTTGTTGGCTGTTTCACCTTTGTGTCCTCCTGTCGGAGCATTTCCTTGAGTTTCACGGGGTTCGGCCAAGAGACACGCATTTCTAGGTAGTTATATTATTGAAAACTCACCAAAAGCTGAGGAATATTGATGTCCACGTATTTTAAAATGGTAACAGCCGCTATAGTGATGATATCAAATCTCCATGGACGGTCCATAATTCCTTTCAACCAGTAGCGTACATGACCATGTTTTAACTCCACTGAAGCCGGCATAATTATATTTGGGATTAAGAACTGAAATGGAAAAGAGTATTCACCAGGCTGGAGAACTGGGTCATCGCCACTTTGGCCTAGGTCTGCAAATGAATGAAGATAGACATGCAGGTACAATGTAGGTAGGATGGTAGGTACGTATATAAGTAGGCAGGGAGGCAGGTAAATAGTCAGGGTATTGAGATGGATTGAGGTTCCTTTCCAAATCAAAGACCAGCCACTTAATAACCAATTGCGAACAAATTACAAGCCTTGAGTACGAGGATTCTCTACAAAGGCACTTGGTCTGGCAACATATAATATTCGCGCAACAAAATCTCTAATACAGGGAAGTAAATTAAAACATGAGTCCCATCTCGAACATGGGCCTGCTGAACGAAACAGTAGGTTACTAGGCTAATATCATAGGTGACGAAATACGCCTTAATTTTGGCGCGAAATTTCAGCGTTAATTTGTAATTTCACATGTGAAATTACAAAATTGCCATGGCAACCCTTCCGTACGTCTAAGTGTCAAGATGGCGACGAAGTTTTAAAATGCCGTGAATGAAGATGTCAAGGCACAAAAAGACGTTTTAGAAAACCTGAACACACAAGAGAACATCAAGAAGGATTCTAACAGGTATTATGCCGAAAAAGTCTGAAAGATTCTGAACTTTATAAGCCAAATTTAAGGTCTAAACATTTGAGAGAGTGGAGCTCTCGATCGATACGATCCAGGATAAACATGTCAAAAATCCAATATTGCTAACGTAATTCGTCACCCATGTTATTAATAGCTAAAGGCTCGGGAAATTATTAGGATTTGGACAAAACGCGCGTGAAATTATTCCCTAATTTCACCCGTCACCATTTGATTACACATACAAGTAGGTAGGTGGGCGGGTTAGTGGGTAGTTATATGTATTGGCATCCTATAGTATCGAAGGACTATGGTGTCGCACTGTGATTGGTGGTTCTCGAACAGCGACTTGCGTGGCTGGAAGGACTAATTCGGGAATGACTGTCCCTTTCGCGCAGTCAGCAGATGTAATTCGTTGCTGGTCTTACTTCGGGCATTCCTCGTTTGTCCCTTTTTAATTGTCTCAGCCTGTTCCGAAAGTGTCTCTTTAAACTCAGAAAGGGCTTGCTTCGTTGCCTGCCTCCACGCTGAACCTGCCTCCACGCTGAACGTTCTGAAGCCGAGGTTTCCAGTTCGTTGATGTCAATGCCTGAGGCTTTCGGGTGCCCCTTGCAGACGTCTTTGTAGCGTAATTGGAACCTGCCAGTGGGGCGCTTTCCCTGAGCAAATTCGCCATAAAGCAGATCCTTTAGGATCTGGCTGTCGTCCATTCTCACATTATGGCCAAAAAGGTAGTACAAACGTCTCTGTTTCAGTTGTGTAAACAATGTAGCCGTAGTGTTGCGTGTTCTTGTACAGAGTGACGATGTTTGCATCTCTCATGTCCTATGGTAATTGACACCTTCTAAGCAGAGACAAAGGATCTCATGCAGCTCAGAGATCGTTGATGTTTCCTTTGCAGCACTTCAGGAGTTCGGCAGGGATGGTGTCCTTTCCAGGTGCTTTGCCAGAGGAAAGACAGTCGAGAGCCTTTTTGTTTAACTCTCCAAGGGTTGGATCACTGTCAAGCTCCTCCAACTCAGGAAGGCACTTGATTGCGTTTAGGGCTTCGTCTGTTACTACATTCTCTCTGGGGTAAAACTCTGAGTAGTGCTGCACCCAGCGTTCCAACTGCTTCGCCCGATCTTGGATGAGCCCCGGCCTGTGGCGGACTTCAGAGGGGCAGTTTTCTTCTTCGTTGGACCTAAGACCTGCTTAATACCATCTGTTTCGCTCCTGTGTGTGAAAGGGCTACTAGTAGTTGAAGATTAACCACTAACAGAGTTTTACGCACTTGGAATTTATTTGCTATTGACAATACCAATTCGAATCGTGGCGTCCGAATGTGTCGTCCTAGTAGTATTACAAAAAGGGCCTACTGTACAAATCAATTTCGGTTCAAGCGATGACTGACAAATATTAACTTACAATTTGTGTTCCATACGCGGCTATGGCTAGTTAGCTTCGTATCTTGGATGCGTGATCAGTGACAAATTGAAAATGTAAGTTGCAGAACGAATATCTTGCTTTTAAATAACAGTCACCTGACCTTTTTCCCCGCGTCGCGCAAAGTCAAGGTGTCGGCGCTAAGGTAATTAAATATTCAATATTCATCAACTTGAACATTTTATGTGGTTCGGAACCACTTGTTCCCTGGTAATAAATTTTTTTGGTGCGAAGTGCCTCATCAGCATTTCCAAAATTCGTTTACTCGATCTTGTGTACTTCCTAGGAGAGAGAGGAGACTTTGTCTGACGGACTTGATGAGAGCTTCCACGACGCCATTCTGATGACTTGCGTGAGCTATATTCCATTACCATTTGAAATTAAAGGGGAATTTTTCAGGTATAGAACACCATGAATCTTGGGAATGTTCCAGCTCTGCATAATTTCCTTTAAGTAACTTTGCGCACCTGTAAAATTGTTCTACGGTCCGACCAACAAACACACCGGTGGCCATGCAAGCTCGCGAAACGACGGAAAGCCATCAACTTCCCTTGCCGCCCGATTGAGCTTGATATACAAGGGCCAAACATGTCAATGGCGGTGTTGGAAAGGGGAAGAATCCCTGCTGTCACTCGTAAAAATGGGATATGCCCCATTAGCTGGTCCAGCGGTTTCTTGCGAAGGTTTTTGCACCTGATGCACTTTGCAGTGAGAGCTTTAGACATGCTGCGGACTTCTGTGATCCATTAATTTCTTCCGTCTTCATGAGTTAAGCTTTTGTTACCAAAATGTCCACGCTTTCCGTGTAAATGACGTAGTATCAACTGGACAAGTAGATGACCGCTTGGTAGAATAGCAGGATTTCTCATTTCTTGTGGCAACCATCTAGCATCCACTTCGAGCCGTCAATGAGCTCGAATTATTCCGTTGTTGTCCAGGCTTGAAATAAACTTCTCGTCAATGACAGAGGATTCTAAGTGAATTTGGCTCCACTTGAAGTGTTGATTCTAACAGTCTTTCCATTCTTGAAGGGTAATAGGCCCTGTCTTGAAGTTCTTCTCTCTAGCACTTTGGACGAAACGACAGACGTACGCGAGTGTTCTCCTTATCCTCAGAAATTTAGAGCAGGTCTTCAGTAATCTTTGAAGAATAGGGTTATCGTTGTAAAATTGTAATTGTAATTATAATTTGTTTATCCAGGGACGCTTAGGAGTTCATGCGAACTGGTTGAAATGTGTTCGAGAGTTCCCGATCGAACTGGAATTTGGAAGTGTTGGTTTTTAGGGAGAGGGGAAAACCGGAGTACCCGGAGAAAAACCTCTCGGAGAAAAGGAGAGAACCAACAACAAACTCAACCAACATTTGGCGTCGACGCCAGGATTTGAACCTGGGCCACATTGGTGGAAGGAGACTGCTCTCACCACTGCGCCACTCTTGCTCTTTAGTTCGGGAACTAAAGTAGCCCCTTCATACACGGGAGCGAAACTCTATCATACATCCCCCTAATATCTGTCTCAGCTACTGACCTTATCTGAGAGCAGAGCTGAAGCCAGTAGTCGTTTGCGCACCCCCTGGCGGTCTGCTGGACTTTGCTTCGAGCGGCTTAGAGAAGGCCCTCCTCATTTCATCAATGAATGGTTGCATCTCTTCGGAGTGGGACTCAAACAGGTCAGCAATCTTGTTGGTCTTCCCGCCCAAAATGGACAAGGTGGCGCTGTGAACAGCATTAGATAGATAGATATTTTATTTAGCGCAGAAGTCGAAAAGATAACACTTATTTACAATGAAGATGTGCATCAAAAAAATGCTTCCATCTATCGCATGCGTTAGCATCGGGCAGGCCTGGAAAAGATTCTTCATGTGCACTTGCAAATCCCTCCACTTTAGTCTGTTCACGGAGTCTGCTGTTGTCAATGCGTGGCCTTCTCTCTTCTTTTTTGCTATCCACCTACCTTGTTCGCGGTTTTACTTTGCTGCACACTAAGGAAGAGTTCGTATCGCAATCAGCACCCTGAAAACTGCGCCTGATCTTAATGCTTGAAAGACTGGAGCATCTGCTGAGGATCAGGTCAAACTGGTGCCAGTGCTAAGATCTTGAGTGTCTCCAATTCAGTGTTCGGTCTTGGTATTGAATAACGTGTTACCGAAGCATGGACTGTGATGACAGCATAGCTCCACGATTAACGACGGCGATTCACAGACGTCTCCTCTCCCGATTTTTCCTGAGGGAGCGGGGACGTCTGTACACAGGCTACCGTGATCATAGAAATGAACAAGAAAAGTGTAATGCACGTGCAAATTTATAGTGTTGCTCAATAAACCTGTGGGGCGTTTTCACTCACGTGGCCAGCATCAACGCAATTTTATTGGAACAAAAGAAAGCGCTTGCATAAGAAAAGAGTTCAACTCCCTCAGGATTAGTCTGGGAGACCAACATGGCCGCCGCTTCATTGTTTTGGGACACCAATGTGGCCGCCATGAAGTTATGTGAAAACACTCTATTGCTTTTATGACGCTCTCGTTGTCGTCGCCATCGTCGTTGCTAAAGCCCCCAAACAACACGCATCAGACGCATCAAATGCAATGCCGCTCATTTTTTCTGGCGATTATTCTGTACTATTGACGCCACCTCCTGGATATCGCAGACGTCTTCCAAATTTGGCCAACGCTAGCTGGTTAAGAAGAATTAGACGTAGGATTTTAGCTAATCAGAAGCAAAGGAATATTTTGAGTGAATAATAATGTAAATTTTGGAAAGCAAGGCGCAAGCGCCCTCGAAGCCTTAAACGTCGTTGACATATTGATGACATGATAATCGCCAATAAGCTAGTAGTTCTTTTTCTGGAGAAAGCAAATTTCGGTTGCGCTCAAAAATGTCCACAGAACCGGTCTATTTTCTCATTTATCCACCCCCACCCCTTGCGCCAGCTGCCAATAAATCCAGAAATCTTTGTGCATATTACGATAAGAATAATTTCAATTTCAAGTTGACATAGAATCAACTCCCGTAGAAAACAATTTTAGTACGAAATGGTCCTGTCAACCTGATGAATTCTCGTCGGAGAAATGAACGTGACTTGATCACACCTTCACTCACCTTTACCAAACAATGTTGCCAAAGTATCTAAGTACGTTTCGCTGTTGCTATAGCTCTTATTCGCCTCACCGACGTTTTCCCTCCAGTGTACGTATGCTTCACCATGGAACTCAATCCGAAGTCCCTGTAACTTCAACTTCTTATTCACCTTGAGACAGAGGGCTGCATTTATTGCCTCCCCTGGGTAAAACGTCCTTTTTCCTGCGTAAAATTCAACAACGAAGTAATCAACTTTGCCCATGTTTTGTCATCGTCATTCAAATCATTTCGATGATTATTATGATAGCACAGCGTTTTTAACGTGCGCTTTCACACGTTACGTTTTTATTTATTATAAACAACAGTAAAACTGCGCACGTACGGTATACCTTTTTCAAGAAAGCTTTAATATTGCTGTTGTGGCTTACGTTTGCGGGATGTTCAGAGCGAGGCGTTATCAAGTATTTCTGGCAACCGCGGCTTGTGATAAGAGTGCAACACAAATTTAACTGCTCAAACGTTCCAAATAAAATAGAAAAAAAGGTTCGCAAGGCATACAGTGCGCTATGCTCCAATGGTGAATAGAGTTTAGCGAAAGCTGGATTTAGTGCGTACCCACGGGTCTGGTTAATAGAGTTGGAGATTTCACAGTTGGGTATCCGCCCTTGGCTCTTCTTGTTGACTGAACACCCGTATAAGTACAGTCGTTTCCCGTTTTCACGCAATTTCTTCTGACGTGCCAGTTTGTATTATTCGTGATAAATCGTTGCATGGTTCTGATCGGCCGACTGAGAATCCTGTTTCCGGACAAGAAATACTATTATTATATGGCTTGTTCCGCAAGTCGGCAAAATAAATCGAATCCTGTGTTGTTCTGAGTGGCTAGTCGCGCGAGCAAGATGGGCCTTAATATTGCCCGCCCGGGATTTCTCGCTTTGGTCACCCACAGAAAAATAGCTCTTCAGGCGATATAATAATCCTTTAATGATCAAACAAGTTTGGAAGTTGGCTGGATATTTGCCTCGCTCTTTCTTTGCATTTTTATCGACCTCGACTTCGTCTATCTCCTCTTAAAAAAACCTGCCAATATCCAGCAATGTTGACTTTCGGTTGGTAATAACGCATGTTTCAAATAGTTATAAATATTCTCGATTACGGACTTCCATCTCGTCGCGTCTTATGTTATTTTCAAAAAATATTTATAGCGCGCCCTCGGAAGCACGTTACACCACAGTTTCTTTCGATATACAAGATCGAATACTTCATGGAACTAAAAAGTGCGCGTGTCCTGTATTTACGCACGAGTTACTGACGCATCAGAAAACGCGAACGAGTGAGATAATGAACCAGTGCGTAAATAACGTACAAAGCACTTTCCAAGTGGTATCATGTTTGTCATATAGAGAGATACTCAGACCTGCAGCATTCTGGTACAATATCTTAACTTTATTATATTCCTTCCAACATACTGAAATGCTAGTATTTATTGCCATTTGGTTAGAGCGCCTATTATATTGCTACGCTTATCAAAAGTCAGAACTGGCCGGCCAAAATGAACAAGGCTTTTCTCGAGGGCTATGCTGTGCATAGTATTTAAAAATACAGTTATCTGGATGGACAGTTTTCATTGATAGTGAATTCTTTTCATCATAAGCTGATCTAGACTTATGATAAACGCTCATGATCGTAATATTTCGAACTACATGTACAATATTCAGTATAAATAATGGTATTATTTGATTTACAATCCACATTCAAAGTAATAAAGGAATTAAAGTAAACTTTTGCGGAACACATTATAAATATTAGAAACATCAGTTTGAGTACAGTTGCAGTCCAGTTTGAAAATAATTATAGTAGACACTTACAGGAATCGAAAGCAAAAGGAAAGGATCTAAAAAGTATAAAACGTACGTATGGCTGAGTTTTGCCAAGGCACTCTTCCTTAACATTGAGATTAACGAAGCCATTCTAAGCTATTTAATTTCTATCGATCCATTGGTCGCCATTTTTACTGAGCGGAAAACATTCCTTTTTGTCACAAAAATACAGTCAACTTCTCTGCAAAGTCTTATTGAGTTGAAAAGGTGCAGTTACCTAAGACACTTTTAGCGTGGTAAATGGCCCTTTACCACGGAATATTCCTGGTTAGGCCAATGACATTTCTTTCACCGTTAGAATAAATTTACAATTTTTTTCCACGGCCAACAATCATGGTGAACGCTGGCTTTTGCGACCCTTTAAATGGTCCTATAAACCTCTCTTCACATTCTTTGCTTATTCCATGAAGTGGTATGTCGCGAAAACTGTTTCTACTTTACGGTATTTCAAATGGTCTACCAGTTTTTTCAATTTTCATAAAATTTCATCATTCTACACATCTTTTTTGCAGTGTGGATGCTCAAATTCACACTATCACCAGCTAATCTACCAGCTAATTATAAACGTGCCCACTCCTGCGATAGTACTATCTTCCGGGCGGGGGTGGGGGGGGGGGGGGG